AATATCTTCATTTAATTTCGCAATAAAACCGCACTGCATAAAACATTCTTCATATGACATTCCTTTCACGAGAAAACATCAGCCCAACAAAATTGACCAGCTCACCACTGTGTGACTTCATAGCTCAGTTGGTCAGAGCACTGCACCGGCAATGCAGAAGTCATGGGTTCGAATCCCGTTGAGTCACCTGAATTTTTCAGGTTCATGAGACAATTGCTTAAATTGTCCAGCAAAGTGCGAAGATCACATCTTCATTTAATTTCGCAATAAAACCGCACAGCATAAAACATTCTTCATATGACATTCCTTTCACGAGAAAACATCAGCCCAACAAAATTGACCTGCTCACCACTGTGTGACTTCATAGCTCAGTTGGTCAGAGCACTGCACCGGCACCGCAGAGGTCATGGGTTTGAATCCCGTTGAGTCACTTGAATTTTTCAGGTTCATGAGACAATTGCTTAAATTGTCCAGCAAAGTGCGAAGATCATATCTTCATTTAATTTCTTTTCATTCTGTCGCAACTATTGTAAATTTATGGAGAGATAATAAATATCTCTCATCTCAAACATAAACTTTTCATTTTTAGATTGGTTGTCCAACATTGACCAAGGTCTAAAATATTCTTGATATCATGCTAAAGTAGAGTTCGATAATTGTTTTATTATTCCCTTCCACTAAATGAAATATTATTAAAACATATCATTGTAAAACTTTTTCAAAACCTTCGCTAATTTGTTCTTGTCAGACGTTTTATTCAAGTTCTTCTGCTATGTTATAAATATGTTCAAATCCACCTTGGCTGCTTTTCTCGTGTTTTCCGTATCTTTTTTGTTCGAAAGCTTTCATATCGTTTTTAGAAACTGTGGAAAACATACCCATTATTTGATTTTTTTAAAAACTGGCTTTTAATGGCGTCCATAAATGTAGAAATTATCATTTGTACAAATGACGTCATACCTACACATGTCGAGAATTATTCGCAGGTAATTGACCCATCCAAAACCGGCAATATTTGTATAGTGAATATTATTCAACAATAATTGGATGAGGTTGAGCATGATATCGATATTTATTCAGAGTTTTCAGACGGAGGTCAACGTTATCTTTCAAAGCAAATATGAGGCGGATAATGTTGACCGAAGTCTGAATAATTTTGAGGTGATACAAAAACCGATTTCAGTAGTTGTTTTTATACACAGTTGTAAATGCAGAAGCTTTCAGAATATTTCGTACGGAAGTCATAAAATTTCCCGTGCTTCGACATAAAATAATTTTTGGGGCTTACTTTCGTTTTTTCCTTAAATATTGGAAAATACTACTCCATATTTTGTAGATAGTAAGACAATATGATTTATATGTAGGCTCTTAGCCAATCTTTATCGAAATTGCACTCACATTGTACAATATGTGTTATAAGGATTGAAACAAAATCTCTGGTAGCGATACTTTGGTAAACCTCTAATCAAATAGACGTCCAAAATTCAAGCTAAGACCAAAAAATACAGAAAAAACGAGAGCTGAAATTTTTTACGATTGTTACGTACTTCTGAGAAAAATGCTTGCTTTAACAGGAGGTTAAGTCTTTTTTTAGCAGGAAACTCCCAGAATTTGCACATCACTCCATTGATAAATTGGTAGCTGCTTTGATGGTCTAAAACTATGTCCCTTATCAAAGTATAGTTGAGTTTTCGTTGGGAAATATTTAAGATTGTGAGGTAAATACTTAAGGCTCAGTTTGAACTGCGAATCATGTATCGAGTTCAATACAATACAGTCAGTACATGAGGAGCCCGAATTCTGACTCAACTGAGTTTCACCGTTTTAAGTTTGATCGTATTAAGAGTTAAGTTCAATACGGGTATATGTAGCAAGGCTTCACGTGCCGTCCCTGATTTCGACTGATTGCTACAACACGCGCAGCACTTCCAAACTTCCAGCCCGAGTTTGGATCGCCCCTTGGCGCGACAAGATATGATGATGATGATGAGTTTAATACGGCTAAAAGTCCATTCAAATTGCGACTTCTGTGTGAACAACTTCAAGTACAGAGCTTGAACGAGCAGCGTTTTATCTATTTTCATGCTTAGCTATCCTATACGTAATCAAATGATCTCAAATAGAATAAACTAACTCGAATCTTGTGGCAGTCATTTTGTTAAGAAACTATTAAACATTGATTTGTGATCGAGAAAATTTTGTGTTGACAAAATTTTTTGCAAAAAAGAAAAAAGTATAAGTGTATAACCTGCAATACTCCAGCTTGTAACCATTGTAGTTTGTTTGAAGACAATGAGGATTCAGGTTGGGCACCGGAGATGGAAGATCATTTCATTGCCCGACTGACTTCTTGGCAAAAGAAACTCACTTTCAAAAAATTTTCAATTTCTTGTATAAAATCTTCCGTGTTTTCTGTAAGAAACATTTTTAATATGAAAATTTTAGCACTTAATGGTGAGAGATAAAGGAAAGCCTAATAAGGGAACGCACTGAGTAAGAACAAAAGCAAAAGATCAACACCTTCTCCTATCGAGCAAACACAGCCAAAAGACTATCGTTTCTGTTATGAAGGATGGGACGAATAGAGATTCAAAAAAATCTTACTTGCAAACATGAAAGTAAAGCTAAGATGAGCGGATCTGTTTGGGTCAGATAAAAAAGCCAATATTTAGTAAGTTGACCTAGCGTAAAACAAATTGAAACGTGATAGAAAAGAAATTTTATTGCCACCGAACAGCATAGTAAGTTCAAGTTCAAGCCAGAGACTCATGTAGACCTGAGATAGCGGAAGCACCATCAATTTGAAGAGCTAGTAAATCTTTTTTCCTTAATTAAAAAGAGAAAGAATAAATTAGACAGTCAGAAGAGAAAGTCAAGATAGGTGGAATAAATCATTAGTTGCAACAAAAAATAAAAATTGCTACAAAAGACATATACATGTTTCTAGATGTACATTGTCCAGGTTGATAGGGTCCTGAGAAAGACTGTTGGTTTTAATGTTGACTGACGTTTCAAAAACCTTAGGCCTAGTTCAAACGTAAAACTTTACATGAGCCTAACGTATTTAAAAAAAAGATAATGAGGAAGTTCACCTCATTTTTTTTTATAATTAATGCGTTCGGCGCATGTAAAGTTCGACGTTTGAAACTCGCCTTAGTGGTTCTTATCTTAGACTCAAGTGACAAAGTTGGTTATGCTATAGCTCTTTTAAAGACAATGGTTAACATTAACAATGATAAATTTATGGAGCTGCTATATTCATAGAATATAAAGTTTAAAAATGAAGAAACCATCAAACTGAAGTGAATAAATCTCTAACTTCATCCATTGATGCACCTCATCCATGGTCACAGAAAGGCCAAACTTTTAACCATCGCAAAATTTCCAATGGATGCAATCAACAAATTTGGCTTTATCAGCATTCATTGCAAGACCTCTTTCATATCTATTCACTAAGTTTGCATTTTAACCATGTGAGCTTTAACATGCAACCACCCTTTCGAGTAAATCTCCAAGTGATGCTATGGATCGTGTATTTTTCAACAACAAAAGTTAAGAATCAATGTCATTGCAGTTAAAAATACCATGATTTTCCCATTAATTAATACATTGAAGAATAGAATAAAGTTTCATTCATCTTTTACCATTGGTGTCGTTTTACGCTGACGCTCACGCGTGCAAATTCTCAAGTGTAGAAATTGAGTTCGACTGTTTAAATTCAATTCAAGGTTGAATCAAATTCATAATTTGCTCCATTCTGCCGAAGATGCTACAACTTGCACAGCTTAAGAGAAATTTGCCTTTTGAGCTAAGCCTAAATATATAATACTCCATCATCTTTTATTATATTAACTTCTAGCTGTAAAATTCAAAGACATTTTCTAGAAAGTATTTTTAAAACAAAAGAATTGCATGTTTTGAGAACACTGTTTTCAACCTACACTTTTATTATATGAAAATTGAGTCATAACTTTGTACTTAAGTTTTTGTCGATGTAATTTAATGAATTTGCCTGCACAATGTAAAAATTACTAACTTTCACAACAACTAACTTACTGCACTGTTTTCTCATCTTAAGCTTCCTCTTATTTTACTTTTTTCAGAAAACAGTTTTTTTTACACTTGAAACCCGTTCTACTTGCTTCTTTATAGCATATAAGAAATTGGTATCTTATACGCCAGACAAAATTGATCGCGGTCCGGAATCGATCAGTGAATCAGATTTTTTATATTCTACATAATTAAAAACTTTTTTGTCTAAATAATGCAGATCACATAACCTGTTTGGCGAGGTAACTCGTTTGCGTTGCATGGTCAGTGAGTGTCGTGGCTTTGAATGCAAATAATTGTTTCCGACCGGTCGACTTTACTTAAAGTCGTTTTGTTGTATTTCATAGGTTTTTTGTAGAAAAGAATGAATGCAAATCTAGATAACTCCTCAGCTGGTAAATTGTTATCAGTTTAATCAAAGAAATAAATACATGTAAATTTTCTTCATGAAACTGACTGCAAGTGATCTTCCATTGGATTCTTTTAGATGAAGCTTTCAATACAATTCTACCAAGAATCGTTGTACAAGTTAGCCCATCGTATTATTTTGTTTTTGCTGGTCATATAGAAAACATAACCAACGCTCTTAATGAAGCTTGCCGAATGGGATACGATGTTCTTTGTAATGTATGTTTTCTATATTTCAGATCACAAATGACAACTAGCTGTTCTTTTTAGAATGTTCTAAATTCGTGCTTTGTTGTAGCAAGTTCTTGACGATATAAAACTAACATGATAAGCTAGTTATTTTCTCTATCAAAAAAATGCTTTCGCTTGCATCTGTAACAACCATAAAACTATTGAATACAGTCTACATTTCTCAAAAGGACCCTTTAAATGCAGAATTCTCTTTGAAATTTTAGGGTGGAACAGCCGTGTATGCTGTTGAGAAAACTATTTGCAGTATTGAAGATCATCATTACTTCAATTGTTGTTATGGATCATTCTTCAATAATGACGGGGATATTGAATGTGATGCAATGATAATGGATGGTAATACTTTAGACACAGGTAATTTATTTAGTACACACATGGTATTATAAGCAGGGGCGGATCTAGAGTATGTCAAATCCGTCGGGCGACTGATGTTTGAAATTCAAAAATTACCTATTCATATTAAATAAAAATTCATTAATCATTCTTACTTTAATATCGCATTTACTTCGTGATGAAAATCCAGCTTTATTTATTATTGAAAACTAATGACTAATGCAACGAATATCTCGTTGGTAACCAGATCAGTTGAATTTTAATTGACCTGGAATAACCGACTGATAAGCGGGGTGGCTTGACTGGTTCGACTTATAAAGGAGTCTATGAACGCCAGAAACGCTATTTTATTGGTCAATGGCCAGATCAGTGGACAGTCTGGAATAATCTCGACCGATAATAGGGGTGGCCGGACCTATAAGGGAGTCCAATTGCTATCTTACAATTGGCTCATTTGAATTTTTGTTTTATTGTGATTGGTTTGACCGATTTCGACTGATAGCCTTCTGAGCTAACATAGTCAAGCGTGGTGTCCAGTGTTGCCAGATGGGCGGTTTTCCCGCCCAATTGGGCTGGTTTATAAGCCTGTTTGCGGGAAATTTTTGGAGGTTGCGGGTTTTTGGGCTGGGAATAACTTTTTGCGCGATTTTTTGGGCTGGAAAAAATTTTGATGATCTAGCTTCCACGTGTTTTAGTTTTTGTCGTGGTAAACGGCAATTGTGCTAATATAACATGGGAAAGTGGGCAAAATACCATAAAAAGTATTGTAAAGACTGGGAAAAGGAAGAAATCTTGAAAGAATGGATTTTGAGTGTACCAGGAGACGACCAAAAAGCATATTGTAAGTATTGCAAAACTCAAATTCGAGCACATCATGGGGATCTAGTTTCTCATGCAAAAACTGAGAAACATAAACGCAACAAGCAACCTTTTTCCAGTTCAAAAACCTTATTTGAGTTGGGTTGTCAAAGTAAAAATGTAGACAATTCTCTAAAAGTTACAGAGATAAAGATCGCTGCCCACATCGCGTGTCATTCTAGCTTAAACACCGTGGATCATCTTGGCGAGTTATTTAAAGATGTCTCAGGGAAAAATGTTAAACTCCACAGAACAAAGTGTAATGCATTGATTAAATGTGTGTTAGGACCAGCGATGTTAGAACAGCTACTTCAAGAATTGGCCGATATCCCTTATTCACTAATTATAGATGAAAGCACTGACATTGGCAATGAAAAACAACTGTGCATTATGGTTAAGTATTACAGCGCAGCCAAACAACAGATTCTCACAAGCTTCCTTGGACTTTTTTCTATTGAATCAGGAACGGCAGAAGCCATTTTTCAAGCAATAATTGAATTTTTGAGAGCAAAGGAACTTGATATCAAGCAGTGCATAGGCTTGGCCACTGATGGGTGCAACACACTGTGTGGAAGGAACAATTCTGTAATCACAAAATTTCGTGAACTATGCCCTAACATAATACATATAAGATGCATTTGTCATTCTATCCAACTTTGTTCCTCACATGCCCTTAAAGTAATGCCACGGAATGTGGAGTTCATGGTGTCAGAAACGTACAACTGGTTTTCTCATAGCACTTCTAGGCAACGAAACTATCGCCAGATCTATTCAGCTATCAAAGTGGGGGAAGCACCTTTGAAGATTTTAAAGCTCTCCGACACACGTTGGCTATCTATTTCTGCATGTGTTGACCGAATACTCCAACCGTTTGACGAACTGAAACTACACTTTCAGCTTGCCAAAGATGAAGATCGCAACTACACTGCAGAATTACTTTTTGAAATGTATGGTGACATGGAGAATAAATTATATCTAATTTTTCTGCAGCCTATCCTTAAAGAATTAAACCGAGTAAATAAGCTGTTTCAGTCAGATTCTGCTAACCCGTTGCAACTCCTCACTGATGTTATGAGTTTGTATAAAGTGTTTCTTTTCCGTACTATGAAGCCTGTGACATTTACAACATGGTGCTCCACTCTCACGTACGACATAGAGGATGAGAGAAATCATTTGTCTCTTTCTGCGGTCGACTTTGGTATTTTATTTCAAGTGGCATTGGCGGAATCAAATTTAAGTTCTGAAAAGGATGATGTAATCAAATCTAGATGTCAACAATTTCTGGTTGAGTTGCTCAGGCAAATGAAGCAAAGGTTGCCATGCAATGTGGAGCTGCTTGAGTCTATTGCTGATCTAAGTCCAACTGTTGTTACAGGCAAACAGAAACGATCTCTTCAAGACCTGTCGTTTTTTCCACTATTTTCCGGAGATTTAGGTAAACTTGACCAACAATATAGTCGCATTGGTTCAATCCAGTGGATTGATGTCAATGACCAGAAAATTGAACAATTTTGGATTGACGTCATTAATCATGTTGATGCTTCTGGGGATCACGATTTTCAAGAGTTGGGAAGCCTTGCACTTTCTATTTTGGCTCTTTCTTTTAGCAACGCAGCAGTTGAAAGAGCATTTTCTCTGATGGCTTTGCTAAAATCCAAACTAAGAAATCGAATGGGACAGTCGCTACTAGAGAATCTCTTGCACGTGAAATCATATATGGCAACGCAAAAAATTTGCTGCAACAATTTTACTCCTTGGCCTCAAATGATATCTAGGTTTACTTCAGAAATTTATGAAAGTACAGAAGACGTAAACGATGGAATATACGATATCAATGTGTAGTTTGGTTTAAATTAAATATTTTCAACAGACTTGGGCTAGTTTTTACTTGTTTTGATGCAAATTTGGGCTATTTCTTGCAAAATATAATTGGGCTATTTTTGGGCTACTTTTAAAGGTAGCTCGGGCGGGTTTGCTGGCTACCCATCTGGCAACACTGGTGGTGTCTGGAATGCGAGATAGATCATCACGTTGTGATTCACTATAACGTGGTTTGTAAAATCTGTTTCATTGCATTTATTTGGAAAATCGTTTACAAACTGCAATGTTAAATATTGATATGTATGCTGCTGTTCAGACTGCAATTTCGCAAGAGAATGATAAATCTCTGAATGAATTGAAATTGCGTTTGAATGAGGAATATTGTGGGGCGACTAAAATGTCGAGAGAGGAATTCTTATCATTGCTTTTGAAAGACGAAACATCATTGAGCACAGAGTTCTCAGCAGAAATTTACATCTCCAAAATCGTACGTAAGCAACACGAGGACAAAGGAAATGTATGCATGGCTTTAAGGTATCCAAACCATTAATATCAATTTATGCGACTATGAGATGTGGTTTATGTGATTATGTCTATTGACTGTTGTATAAATTTTAATAAAGCAGATTTCATTTTGTGCAGTGTATACTAAAGATCTACGGCTTGGACTTTTAATTTTATTATAAATATTGGCATAAATTCAGCGAATAGTGAATTTATATTTGAACTTTGAATTATCTTCTACATGTAACTACGTTGCTATGTTAGATATTTCCTGGCCAGTTAGTTAAATTTTGTTGGAGGACTTATAGGAACACGACTTTTTTATTCAATTTAGATCAGAAGTATCTAGCAACTGTCTCTACAGTTCAGTGTCATTGCTTTTGGCAGGTGATAACAGTTTATTGCATATTTTGAGGCATTTAACATCACTTGAGCTGTTTTTGAATGCTACTTTTTACTGCCAACACCCTTTATTTTCCTCAATTGTTCAACAGCATAAAGAATTCAACAACACCTCAAAGAATATTTTACCTTTGACAGTATCTCAAGACTGTCTAGATTCTGGTTTTGTAGGTGTTGATCTTGTCAAAAAGGAGGCCTTTTTGAATTGTCATGACCAAAAGTGGTCATCGTTTCTATGCATTTTAGCTCTTTCTTCTGTGTTGGAGACAAAAATTTTTACTTACTACCCAGATTGTGGAGAGAGAAGGCCTAAATCAATATTCAACTCTCTTGTTTGTCCAAGAAGAATAGTTAAAGAATCAGCCGATGCAATTCATCTTTTGTTTTGTTATAAAGGGATAGTTAAACCAGATCAATGTTTTCAACCTAATCATTTTGTTCCTCTAGTTTTTTTTCCTAGCAAAACTAAAAGGACAATTTCTGGTCCAACATGCCCAGTGCCTTCAAAAAAAGCAAAAGCTGAAAAAAGTCTGGGAAAATCAGTAAGTTTTTTCAAAAATGGAAAAACCAGAAATCATTACAAGTGAGGTTTCTTGTACTAGGGTTACTGAACAAACCATTGAAGATTTACAGGTAAAGCCTAACTTTATTCACAATTTTGATGTAGCTACCTACTACAAAAGAGCTAAAGTTTTGAAAATGTCTGATATTTGTTTGCTTATTAAAATGTTTTTAAACCTGATGAAAATTACACTTTTCCTCCTTTGAGTGAGAACAATAAAAGGTCTTTTAAATATGAATGGCTCAAAGATTTTACCTGGCTGTGTTATTCACCAAAAGAAGATGGTGCTTATTGCTTATCATGTGTTCTTTTGGACATCAATTCCCCAGTAAATGCTCGAGAATAAACAATCTATTTCGTTCACCTTTTCGTCATTGGAATGATGCTGTAGGTACATTTAGGCGACATGCTGGAAATTGTAAGGGGGAAAAAATGGGACTACATGCATGTACTTCTCCAATTTTGAATAATATATGCTCTCAAATGTCAGGTGTAGCTCAACCCATTGAAAATATCTTAGATACTAACATAAAACTTGAAATTGAGCCAAATAGGAAAATTCTTAAACAAATTGTTGATACAGTTCTTTTTTGTGGAAGGCTTGGCATTGGATTACGAGGTCATCGTGACAATGCTCAATTTCACCCAGAGGTCGGTTGCTATTCAGTCAATGGCAATGTTGGTAATTTTGTTGAATCTTTAAATTTTAGAGTTAGAGCTGGTGATCAAACTTTGGAAAATCATTTGCTCAAATGTGGCAAGAATAAAAGTTATATTTCCAAGACCAGCCAAAACAAAATCATCAACTGTATTGGTCAGGTAATATCAGAAGATATTATAAACGGCATATAAATGGTTTAGCAGCCCACATTTTAAGAACTAATCCTAAAGCTCTTTACACTCACTGTTACAGTCATCGACTAAATTTGTCTGTCTGTGACACTCTTTCTAACGTTGAAATTAATAACATGTTATCTGTTGTTTCTCAAGCTGCCAATTTTATCAACATATCACAGACACGCAACATATCCTTTGCTGAGCACGTTAAAAAGTCAGATGTTCAGACCAAGAAGGCAAAACTGGTAAGTCTTTGTAAAACCAGATGGGTTGAGCGAGTTGACAGTCTTGACACGTTTCAACAGTTGTTTATCCCTTTAATCGACACTCTTCAGGACACGATAAACAATGTAAGCGGCGAGGTGAAGCCTTCCCTTGCTGCTGATGCTTCCCAGTTACGTTCATTAGTTACTCAATTTCATTTTATTGTTGCGCTAGTTATTACAAGAAATATTCTTGATGCTACTCTTCCAGTCACGCAATTGTTGCAGGGAAAAACTATTGATGTTATGGATGGTTTTCATTTGATAACCACTTTGAAGAATGCTGTAGTCAACATGAGGAAAAGCATTAATTTTTATCATAACACTTGGTATGAAGAGGCTTTAAAACTTGCTGAAGAGGTCAACGTTCAAGAAACAAAAAAGCGAATTGCTGGAAGACAAACTATGCGATCTAATCCCCCCAGTCAATCATTCAAAGAACATTATAAACTAACCATCACTATTCGTTTATTAGACCATCTTCAAACATCTTTGAGAACTAGGTTTAACTAGGATAGTGTTAATGTGTACCGCGGATTATCTATCGTTCCCGTCAAAATGATGACTCTGTCGGACAAAGGAATTGATTGGAAAGAACAGTTTAAAAGTGTTGCAAAATTCTATCATGATGACTTGCCCAACCCCCTTGGTTTAGATGCTGAATTAAGGCAATGGCGTTTATACTGGGAAACGCACAATGGGCCTTTGCCAGAAAACATCGTCAAAACACTGAAGCATGTAACATTTCCAGGATTTGAAAATATTAAAGTTATTCTTCGCATTTTAGGTACACTACCAATCACCTCATGTGAATGTGAGAGATCAATTTCAGCACTGAGGAATCTAAAAACCTACCAAAGGAGCACTATGGTAGAGGAACGTTTAAATGGCCTGGCTTTAATGCAAATTCACCCAGAAATTATTCCTGACATAGAAAGAGTGATCAATAAGTTTGCTGAAGGTAATACACGTTTGAAATTTGCTTAATGTGTTATGGCTACGTTACTGTAGAAATATTACTGACTTTGCAACTGGCTGCTTAATGCGCCGTTGCTGCAGAAATCTTACAGCACAACTGGCTGCTTAATGCGCCGTTGCTGCAAAAATTTAAGACAGCACAACAGGCTGCTTAATGCGCCGTTGCTGCAGAAATGTCTTACAGCACAACTGGCTGCTTAATGCGCCGTTGCTGCAAAAATGTAAGACAGTGCAACTGGCTGCTTAATGCGCCGTTGCTGCAGAAATGTAAGACAGTGCAACTGGCTGCTTAATGCGCCGTTGCTGCAAAATAAGACAGTGCAACTGGCTGCTTAATGCGCCGTTGCTGCAGAAATGTAAGACAGTGCAACTGGCTGCTTAATGCGCCGTTGCTGCAGAAATGTAAGACAGTGCAACTGGCTGCTTAATGCGCCGTTGCTGCAGAAATGTAAGACAGTGCAACTGGCTGCTTAATGCGCCATTGCTGCTAAATAAAAGACTGTCCATGTCCGGAATCACATTGTTGCTTTGCACTATGTGTTTCCTAGGCATGCTGAAGAGCCCTGACATTGGGCGAAACGGTCTTAGCGTGTTTGTCCTCAATATTTTGTAAGAAAAAAATGAAAAAATTGCGATTTCATTCACTTTGAAAATTTGCTGTAAAGCTATTCCAAAACGCTGGAAATCGCATTTCTGGGACCCTAGGCTTCAACATTTTCCAGGGAGGGGATGCCCTCGGACCCCTTACGGGCAAACGCCTCTGGCGTTCGCCGGTTTAGGACTGACGTTTGGAAAATCCTAGGTCCGCCCCTGATTATAAGATAAAAAATATTAAATTGCCTGCGCTGACTGACCAATAGCTGTGTTTGCATTAGCCTACACAATACAGATCTGAGATCAACCAATAAAATCAAACAACCATTCAATCAATCAAAGAGAATTTGCAAATCAATCAGGAATACATTTTAGAGGAATTATTGAAATATTTTCAAAGTTCTTAATCTGTTTTTTCCCAATTATTTTGATATTATAAAAGAAGCAAACGATGTTTTTTGTGCTTAAGGAAACCTCAGAGACGTTTGTGAGAACTCTCAAGCATGTGCAACTCTCGACCTTCGGTCTTGGGGTTGCACTGATCTGCTCTTGAGTTCTCCCAAAGGTCTTCTCGGTTTGTATAAGCCGGCGCAAACACAGTAAACATCTTATATTTCTTAACTTTAACCTGCACATTTATTGTTTGAGTAGCTACATGATAGGTTAAAATCCGTTCATTAATGTCCCAGTATTTGAAAAAAATCACCTAAAAAATTATTATACAGGTGCAGTAATGGCTGCTCGAAACTCTAAAAATCCTGTCGCCACTGCTCGACAGGTAATGGAAAAAACCATTCACAGCGCAATAGCAGGAGACGGAGTTCTGGATTTTGCTATAAAATGGAATTTTGAAACATGCACAAATGACCAACTAAAGCATTCACAGGCAGACGATTATCGAATCACTTACGATAAATTACCAGAAGCCATTAAAGAACATTTTGGTGTATGTGATTCCGTCTCAGCTGTTGCAATGGATAAAGATGGGCATTTCGCATGTGCACTTTCTTCAGGTGATGGTTTATTTTACGACTAAATATTTCTATTTCCGTACATTTAACGCCAAATTATCCCTTATCAAGAAATCTTTGACCAGAACCATAAGTTATGAGAGTATATAGGCACAGAATTGCGTTAAATTTCATTATATGTGCTTTTGATTAATATACAAACAAAACCAAAACCGAAAATTGGATGATTGATTCATCGCTGAAAATTCGACGACTGTTCATGAACTGCAAAAGTTGTTCCTTGCGCGAAGGTTTTTAACGTTGGAATCGATGACTGGTATTTTAACATTTCATTTTCCCGCCAAAATTTTGTTGGTCTTTAGTTCTTATTGTATATTGACAATAACTCACGGCCAATACCATATTTAACATTACACTTTGTACTTATGTACGGTGGCCCACCAGGGACATGCAACTTACATAAGTCTGTTGCTGCAAATTAAGTCGGTTGCTGCAAGTTAAGTCTGTTGCTGCAAATTAAGTCTGTTGCTGCAAATTAAGTCGGTTGCTGCAAGTTAAGTCTGTTGCTGCAAATTAAGTCGGTTGCTGCAAGTTAAGTCTGTTGCTGCAAATTAAGTCGGTTGCTGCAAGTTAAGTCTGTTGCTGCAAATTAAGTCGGTTGCTGCAAGTTAAGTCTGTTGCTGCAAATTAAGTCGGTTGCTGCAAGTTAAGTCTGTTGCTGCAAATTAAGTCGGTTGCTGTAAGTTAAGTCTGTTGCTGCAAGTTAAGTCTGTTGCTGTAAGTTAAGTCTGTTGCTGCAAATTAAGTCTGCGGCTGCGATTTGCAATTGTCGTATGCTGCTGAATAAATAATAAAAATGGCTGCTGAAGATAACGAAAACGCTTTAAGGACTTTAATAGAAAATTATTTTTATTCAGGATATAAATACAGCGAAATAGTCTTACTTCTAGACAAGCATCATGCCGTAAAAATGTGTTGTAGAACTTTAAAAGAAAACTCAGAGAATATGGTTTCAAAAACGAAAAATGATGATTGTATTGATGACGATAGGCTAAAAGAAACTATTCGTCAGCTAATAAATGATGCTGGAAGCTTGTCAGGATATCGAACAATCTGGCATACCCTGCGTCGTCGATTCCACGTACACGTTTCACGTAAAAAAGTGGCATTAATAATGAAGGAAATTGATCCACAAGGTGTCCAGCAAAGTAAAACTCACTGTCTCCAACGACGAGTTTATCGATCATACGGTCCAAAACTTTTGCTGGCACATGGACGGTAGGAAAAATTGAAATTTACTAAAGTACAAAAGATGGCTACGTTAATTTATTTGGTTTGCCTGTTTTGATTGGTTATAAAACATAACATAATGTTTTATTTGATATTAATCACACCATTGCTAATTGTTACAGGCTATGAGAAATTAAAGCCCTATGGATTCCCTATTCATGGGGCTATAGATGGTTACAGCCGACGGGTAATTTGGCTTGAAGAGGTAAAATCCAACAACGACCCAAAAGTGCCTGCAAATCTTTTTCTTAAAAGTGTAAAAGAAAACCTCGGATGTCCACTTCTATTATGGAGTGACTGTGGCACAGAGAATGGATTGGCGGCTTCAATGCAATGTTATTTTAGAGATAATGGGACAGATGACTTGGCAGGAGAGAATGCTCATCGCTATGGTTCTTCTCACGCAAACCAGAGGATAGAAAATTGGTGGTCGTACTTTCGTCGTAGTCGAAGCAACTGGTGGATTAATTTTTTTAAAGGTCTAGTTCACGATGGGGTTGTTCTTCTTGGAAACTTAATTCACATGGAGTGCCTCTGGTTTTGTTTCCAATCTGTGCTACAAAATGAACTAAATGATATAATTGACCACTGGAACACTCACTATATCCGACGTTCGCGATATGATACTATACCTGGCGTGCCAAATCGTCTTTACTTTTTACCACAATTAACTGGTGGAGCTGACTACATTGTCCAAGTGCCAACAGACAAAATTAACGAAATGGAGGAAGAATGTGAGATGGAAGAAGGACTAAATGACTACAAAGAGTATTTCGAACATGTAATGGAAATAAAAGGACTACGTCTTCCAAATAATGCAACTGAAGCATTAGCACTATTTCAATGCTTAGTAGAAACTGCTAATGATAAGGATTAAATGTTAACGGGAAAATCGACAAAAAAAACATGAGTTTCACGTCATGGACAAACCAGGCACGACGTTTGACTTTTGCTGTAAATGTTGTTTACGTACACTAGAGTGTAAGCGAATAACCATAACATCAACAAAACGATTTTGCAATGATCAAGTCGATTAAAGTATTAGTTTCAATTGTCAGATCTGCTTTTCAGATAAGTCCCCAATGAATCCCCAATGGCAGAAACCATTAATTCTTCCATTTCACATTCCGAAGCTATATGAACAGGTAACTTCATCAGCAAGTCACATGTTGACGTATATGGTCTAAATTTGCAGCAATCTTTGCAACCATGGATGAAAGCAACATTGAACTTATTGGGAAAACCTAACGGCGGTAATTCCTTGGAGCCACTGCACCATTGCATGAAATCTGTCATAGTTAAATTTTGCAAACCTGAAATGCATTAACATTATTACCTCAGCGGCAAAAACATAGCTTATAACACACGCTGTAGATGTTGAAATAAAATTGCACTGCACATATAACAGTGCAACTTCATTTGTTAATGAGCTGATTGTTGAGTTTTGGTAATGAAAGCGTAGATCGATGCACTACAAATTTGATAAATTTTTGTCTTCAAAACATCGAAATGGATCTATAACATCACCATTAAACTTATTTTGTTATCCTTTAAGCTTAGCAACTTCTGCACGGATGAAACATGCTGTAGAATATCTTATTTTTACTCTAGAATACAATTTATATGTGCACTATACATATTGTGTTCCTGCACTGTTTATGTAAGCCTTATTGTATAGAATTAATGTGCTTATATTAGTATCCTTACCATCTTCAAACTTTTGTATTACATCATTGAAGAATTTAAAGGTATCCACTTCCTTCATCTTCAAAGCTTGAGAGCTACTATATTGAGGTTGCACATGGTCAAGAAACTCATCAGCAGTAAACTTGAAAATATCACTCGGCACAAACACTGCCTTCCATACATGTGGCTGTTTTCTTATCGTGTCAAGAAGATTACAGTTAGACAAGCCTTCTTGAAGTTGTTGCAGCTGGGCTACGCTGTTAGAGATTTGATCTTTTATACAAATAGATCTAGTGAAAAAGAACAAATCAAAAGCAATTAATGCATGTGAGCAGAGGCAAATAAAAAGGGGTTATTTTCCTCTAAGTGAGCAGCACACACTAAGCTAGCAACCCATTTATGCAAGAGTGGAGAGTAAACAATTTTGCAAAAAAATTCGTCATTTTTAACTCCTGATGTAGTTATGACTATCATGCTATGATTATGTAGCAGGAGTGTTTGCCAGCAGCCACTCCCAGGGGTGTGTGAGAATGAAGGTTACTTTGATTTTTTACACGATGCCAATTGAAAGTATATTGATACATTAATACTAAGATGAATTACTTTTAAAAGCAATTTTAGATACAAAAATATTAGCAGAATAAAAAAATTACACATACTGCACTATGTCTTTGGATGATTTGATGCTTTCTTTTTGAGGCACACCGGTGTATCCAACATTCTGCAAAACATCTAATATCTCATCTGCCAATATGGTTTCATGAAATACATCATCTGTTATACAGGATGATAACTAAAATACAAAAAAGAGCAATTTCACTTTCTCTAATACAGAACATAAAACTAAACTTTATGCAATAAAAATAAACATAAGAATGAAAAAGATCAATAAGGTTAGGTCATCTTCTAAAATACTTCATACCTTAATAGCTGCTGATTTAAATGCCTCATTTTGACAATTTTCTGCAGATAAATCTTGCTTTGCAATATATTGGAATATACTTTCATTTAAGAAATTTGGAGCTGGACCACCCTGTATGACAGACATAACCATAGCCTCACCAAGTAGTCGGAAGTCATTAGCCATCAGTGCCATTGTGGAATCATTGGGAAATCCACGAGACATTAACTTCCTTTTTCCTGCTTCTAACAATTCTACAAAAGCAACATTAATGAACATAAATAATTTTAAACACCACTGTTTTTACAGTGATTGTGGAGGTTAAATATGAAAAAACATCAAGTTTACCTGTGAAGAACTCTCTTTTTGGTCCTCCATCATCAATGGCACATTCGCCAATAAACACAACCTTTAAGTTGTCATCAGGTTTGATCTTTGTAAGACGTGCTTGTTTAAAGTCGATCCATAGAAACTTTCTTCAAACATTTATTCTGAATCTGTCTTGCTTTAAAATATTGTTATTCATAAGTTTTATAGACTCTCTCAACACGGATTTTATCTCCTCTGGACTTTTGTGTGCTTGTTTTTCTGATAATAATGATAGCTCAAAAACATCTTTTACAGAGCTCTCAATATTGCTAAGTACTGTGTCTTTCTTATGAGAAGTGTCATCAAGTAACCAGCTATTACATATGTCAGCATGTTCAGCAATATCTTTCACTGAAAATGGCAAGATGCATATTGGACACTGTATAGCAGAACTAGTAGCTGCTGATGCCAATCCATCATCTGCTTCCGCATGCAAGTTTATGTCAGGTTTAGAAAATTCATCAAATGAAGGAGTAGATGCCAATCCATTGTCTATTTGTGCAGGAAAAGTTAAGCCTTGTTTGGATGATTCATCAAATGTAGGATTATTCATTATTGCAGATGTATTGGTAGAATGATTAAAAGAATCCTTTGATAAGTCAATAAAACAAGTTTCTTTATTGTTGTCAAATGATGTATTGATGAAACATGAAGTGCTAATGTTTCCATACCTACAAGCCCCTTCATTCAAAAAAGAATCGTCAGAGTCAGTGTCTGACGTAAAGTCTTCTGCCTTAGGCAAAGAATCAAAAAGAACATCTTTTCTTGTCGCCATGAACATTGTTATCCTTGAGTAGGATTTTTCTGAAGCCTTTTTGTACTGACTCAAGACAAATGGATCCGAAGTTCCAGGAATATTAACAACTTCAGAACCATCAGGGTAAAGGAGTGCATACTCACAATCTTTGACAAATGACCGCTCAAAAGCACTATACTTTTCAATTGATGCATTTAAAATGAATGATGATGAAGAACTGGCTGAGATTTCAAGGCCACGAGCTGGCTTGAGTTTCTTTGTCTTTCCATCATATTTCATTAAACCTATTTGTATCACATGTTTCTCATCCACACTCTTCTTTGATTTTGATAAAAACGAAGATCTACTCTCGCACTTTCGCTTTTTGTATTCCGTAAATATCAATACCTTTTTCTCGCCCGAATGAGCTTTGTTTAAGCCTTGTGGCGGGGTAGACGTAGTAAGGTGTGCACTGAGTCCTCTGACACTGTTACTGGAAATTGAAATCCCATCACTGTTACCATTATTCTTCACCATTTGTTGCTCCTTTCCGCAATGGCAGCAACATTTTGCCCCTTCGGGATTCACGCCTCCACAAATGTGGCAGTACATTAACAAGTATAACAAATAATATTAAAACGCTTTTGGATGTTGATGTTCTTTACTTATTCAATGATTCAACTTTAACTTAGTTATGGTAATACTTCATGATATATTTGCTAAAGTACATTTATTTTGCATAAACCGACTTAATTTGCAGCAACAGACTTAACTTGCAGCAACAGACTTAACTTGCAGCAACCGACTTAATTTGCAGCAACAGACTTAACTTGCAGCAACCGACTTAATTTGCAGCAACAGACTTAACTTGCAGCAACCGACTTAATTTGCAGCAACAGACTTATGTAAGTTGCATGTCCCTTGTGGGCCACCGTACTTATGACTTAAAATACAGCCATAAAATTTGTATTTGTTAATTTTAAATAGAGAAAATTGAAAAATTCTCATAAGATCAAGCACTCAGCACTTAAAAGCACTCACTTTTAAGCTAATTTGGATTTTTTTTCTTAGGTGGTCTTCCTGGAAAGCTTAAAGGCAGACTTAGTGAGGCCTGTACGGTCGGGTGTGGTGGTTACGCCAATAAATATGGCGCTGCAACAACTGGTGGTTATGGAGAGGCAATAAGGAAAATGATATTGGCAAAACAAGTAGTTTTCAATATGGAGTCTGGACAAAATGCTCAGGTAGCTGATCAAATGTCAATTCAACGCATGGGCATTTTACGATAACTAAAAGTCAGGAAAAAATGAAATAAATTTGTGTATCTTTAAATTCATTTTTCTACGACATAGGCCTCTGTTAGGAACGCGTTGCAACTGATGAAAGAAACCTTACCAAGGAAAGATTTTCCTCTTGCTTCTGCAATTTCAATTGATCGCAATGGTAAAATTGGTGTGGAAAGTGAAACATCCATACTTTAGTCAAGCGTTGCTGGTGGAGAAAAATGGTGTGGCATGAAGATGAAGCCAAAAAAGGAATAAAAACACGCCAACAAATAATATGAAACAACACATTTCCAGGAAATAAATCATTGCACTGTTTATCTTCTATTTGTAGTATTTAATCCAAGCCTTTATGGAAGATATTTTTCTTCTTGGCAGCAGACGTTGAAAAATATATCTTGGCGCAATTTAAAAATTATGTATTTACTCGAAGCATTGCACAAAAATGAGCGAAAAGAATTGCAAGCTCTAGTTTAGTTTTTGTTATCTTCATTGTTCATTTTCTTACTTGATGAATAAAATAAATGAAATCATACGTACGTTTGTGCATACGCATTTGCCATGGTTTTTTCATTCCTCAAAAAAACTCCTGTAAGGTCAAAAAAATTTCCTGGTATGATGTTGCCATGCTGAAAGACCTTGTTAAGCCTTCATTTAATCTACATCATTTGGGCATATTACATTATTTGTAACCACAAAATACTTGAAAATTTTCAAAAAAGACTCAAAATAGAAAAGCAAACTTGCTCACTATCCTATGAAAATGACTGTATTTTCTCAAAAGCTAAAACTCGCTATTTTAGACTTTCCGAAGGAATAATCGCGCACGACAATATGATGCAATGTGTCATACAGTTGGAATTTAAATTCTAGTGTACGCAGAGCATGGACTAAGCTTTAGTGCGCACAATATTTCACGCAAAATTAAAAAAATTTTGAACAGAAAATTACAAGGTCGACGATAAAAATGTATAAAAAAAATATTTAAGATTAATCAATGATGATATTTGGGAGTGATTAAAC